CACCTTTCATTTCCAACAGCGACTCAAATCGCAGAGCTTGCAGGAGGTGCCACAGTAGGCGAAAGAAAGCACTCAAATTGTCAAAGACAGCGATAGTTTCTAGTGGCACCATGATACCGAGAAGCTTCGTGCTTTGCGAATTAAGTGCGCAGCCTTTTATCGTTGCACCAAACGCCGAAATCTCAGGCTCACTTCGGCGTTGTTGCACAGTCTCCCAGAAAAGTTGAGGTGCGGCTTCGAGTCCCTTCGGGGCCAAACCTTTGCCCATAACCCATCATTATTGTCAATTCTCTCCAGAGATTCTCGAAAATCTGTGTGCTATAACGTATTTTCCACACAATGTACATAATCAGTTGTTTCCCCGAATTTCATCTTTGGTACTGCTTACTTTCCCCACTTACTCCAAACGCACTTTCCACTGTGATTTCTATAACGAATGGTGTATGCTGCTTCCACATCCACATCCTACAGGATAGAGAGATGCTGCTCCTACACTTTCTTTCGCCTACTGTGGCACTTCCTGCAAGCTCTGCGATTTGAATCGCTGTTGGAAATGAAGGTGGGTTAGTACTTGTTTCGATTTGGGGTCGCCTAATTTTTCGAAAGGTTGGAAAATTTTTGGATCGTTGGCAGGAATTGCTTAAGAATGACGGTCTTTGTCCTAACAGTAGCTATTGCTGGTTACACAAGAAGCCTTTGAAGAGAATTTCGAATTTCAACATTACCCTCGAACAATATGGGCGTTCAAGAGTTGTCAAGGCAAAAAAAGGGTGAGCAGAAATGTCGGCAACTCCTCTCTCATATATCTCTTATACATATGTCTCCGCATCTTTTTTTTTCGTCTAGACACTCTCGGCACTTGCGCCCTGTGGGGTGATAAGACAGTTACCACGCTGGTGAGCGTGGCCTAAGACAATAGTCCTGTACCCTCTGCGGCATTACGCCGCTGTGAGGGTGATAAGCAGTTACTAGGCGGTAATGGCACGAACCTGGTGAGCGCGACATTATGAAGATGGCGACAGCCATTTGAATTTACGCAATTTGGGTGGTAGGAGGAATGGAGTAACTGCTGTTGGGATTACTTGGCTCAACTCACTAAGCAAATCGAAATCGGATTAGAACTCTATACAGCCTCGATAATAGATGACAATGTATAATTGAATTGGCCTCCTCATTGGAAAAGGTCTGATTATATTTGGAAATCTTTACGGAAAAGCAACTGCTTCTCTCCGAAGAAACTGGACTCCAAACCGCTCCTATGTATCTCGGAAACTGGAAATTGCGTCTCGTGGAAATGGCCAGGACACTGGGCGGTGGAAGAACAAAACTGTCTGTGTGCTCACTCTGTCTGCAACGTGGAGCATTTTACCGTTTCCCCAGTACCCAGTGCTAGAGTCGATCAAAAAGCATGTTGGAGTTGTGCGCTTAAGCTATTTTGCTCGCGTACTTAGAGTGTTGCTAGCACCACACAGTCGCGCGCTGGTCACATGGGTTTCTGTCCACCTCACGCTTGGCAACTCTTCTCCTGGGGGTCGGTCATCCGCCACACCCTCGCTGTTGTGCAGGTGGGGGGTCGTAAGTAAGAGAGCGAATATGAGTAAGCCACGTTGTCGAGAGTGGGTACTCTGCAGGTGTGAGGGAGTGAAGGTGTATCAGTACTACGCTTCATCTTACCATGGAAATGGGGAAGGCGTGACTGCGTATTCCACACTAACATAGCGCGAAAGGCATTTTTCGTGAAGTACTTTCATTTGAGATAGATCATGCTGTCCAGGGCAAAGACGTAGTCACAACAGTTTCAAAACGGCATATCTCACCAAGAACGCGGCCACCGCCACGTTTGAATGAAGGAGCAGCTACGCCTCCTCCATTTTCGGGATATAAAGTGTCTATCTTTGCTTATGCCCCAAACAAGCACGTTTATCGAATTAGTGCTGAAGCACTATTGCTGATGTCAAATGCAGATCAGCTGGGTTGGTCCGCCGAACGCCTTATGTGACTGACACTAATGGGTGTCCATCTTGGAGCTAAATGGACGAACTGCGTGGAGACAGCCGTTGCGAAGCTGTAACCATGCTGCCATAATATGATTGAGTCCGTATAATTACGATGTGTTTGGCATGTGTTGTTCCAGTGACAACGGCCGCTGAGCCCAATCCCAGGGGTGTTTATTAGATCAGAAACGGATTCGTATTCCAGTCGATTAGCGAACGCTCCGAATGTTGTCTGATGGTGGAACAGCTATCCAGCTGCGTGGCTTCGGAAAAGGGATGAGGAAGGATTAGCTGTTGATCAGAACCTCGAGGTCGAGCGTTTTGGGAGCATCCTAGATGTAGGTCACCCCTTTGTAGCTTTTCCTCGACGTGAACAATTGACTTCACTCCCCTCCACCTGGCTTTGGCCCTGAGCTTATCCCTTGCGTCATTACACACTCACCCACTTGGATAGTTACCGTAATTCCTACGCTATTAAAGTGGTAACGGCCACCATCAGCCACCACTCGTAACAGTTGTCGAGTGTCCGACAAATTGTTTCGTGTACCACCTGCGCGTTAAACGACCGTCGGCTCGGCTTTGACGACGGTTTTTATGACGTGTAAAGGTGCTAACCGGAAGGTGACAAATGTGTACCACAGATTGACTCTGAGAACATTTGAAGAAGTTGGGGGCGACAGACTTCAGAAACGATCTCAAAGGGCTGGCAAAAGGGAACAAAAGGGTGTCGCAACTTTCCTTATTGTGTCATCATAGACCAAGCAGACAGGGCTCGCCGTACGTTGGGGATACCCAGCGAGAGCGGTCCAAGTCGGCAGAACGGGGTTTCTTCAACCTCCTCGAGCAAAACTGGAATTGGAGATAAGGTTTCTGACCAAGCCTTCGAGGAGCGGAACTTGCGGAACTTCGCTATGAATGAACCGATTTCTTCGTGCAGAGGGATGTCGCATCACCGCTATCTCTGTTTTGCACGAAGATTTTTTTAGATACCCTCTTCAACCGACCTGCCTCCCAAGAGGCTGTAGAAGGCTCTATAGGTCCAAGCAGAAATCATTATAACGATAAGTGTGAATAGTCCGTAATAAAGTCACTAAACTATTCTAGGAACCCACAAGGCTTCACACAATTTCCTTCAGCAGCTGCATTCTTCGCAGTACTAGACCCTAAGTAGAAAAATGGTGGAGAACATGGGGGCAGAGACCAGCTTTAAACAAATTTGGGTAACAATGGCTCTATTAAAAGTATAGTATTAGCGTGCCTGATATTCAGAGATTTACTAGGCTTAGAAGCAATCGAATTCAACGCGGCAAGTCTCTCCACCATCTACCTTTCCTGGATATGCTCTAAGAAAGGAACTGTCAGCACGATGATATCAACGAGGGTCGGTTCATCAATCGCCAGTATGTCTGGCGACCTGATGACAGTTTACGTCATTGGCGCCTTCAGATAGCGCGACTGTGCCGCCCGACAGCAAGAACAAAAGGTCGCGCGATTG